GCAGCTATAGTCTATGGCAGCTGGCTGCTGCTGTGTACTGGGGATCCTGCACGTCCTGCTTCAGTGCTGGAAAGCAGTTGGCTATGTCAGTGGTCTGCAACTTGTGGCTGCATATCTGCATTTGGCTCCATAGCTGCCCCTTTGTGGCTCCAGTGGTGGGAAGTCTTTGGCTAGGTGCACCACTTCACCTAAACCACCACCCCAGTGATTTAAACACCAAGGCCTCGAATGATAATGGTATAACGTTACAGCTTGCTCAGGGAGAGATCTGATTAAAATGTGCCAGTTCCAACAGTACTCTGCACTCTGACGCACTGTAACTCACACAAACCTAGATGTGTGTTGTTCGGGGGGTGACGATACTTCAGGACCCATGAAGGCAGCGGTGAGTATTGTCATACCTAATTTTCATACTTGAGTGAAAGTAAAGATGCCTTAATAGAAAATGACAAGTGAAAGTCACCCAGTAAAATACTACTTGAGTAAAAGTATTTGGTTTTAAATATACTTAAATATCAAAAGTAAATGTAATTGTTCAAATATACTTAATTTATACTTTTAGTTTTGATACTTATTACAGCCTCGAGTCTTCTTGGGTATGACGCTACAAGCTTGGCACACCTGTATTTGAAGAGTTTTTCCCATTCTTCTCTGCAGATCCTCTCAAGCTCTGTCAGGTTGGATAGGGAGCGTCGCTGCACAGCTATTTTCAGGTCTCTCCAGAGATGTTCGATTAGGTTCAAGTCCAGCCTCTGGCTGGGCCACTCAAGGACATTCAGAGACTTGTCCCAAAGCCACTCCGGCGTTGTCTTGGCTGTGTGCTTCGGGTCGTTGTCCTGTTGGAAGGTGAACCTTCGCCCCAGTCTGAGGTCCTGAGCACTCTGGAGCAGGTTTCCATCAAGGATCTCTCTGTACTTTGCTCAGTTAATCTTTCCCTAGATCCTGACTATTCTCCCAGTCCCTGCCACTGAAAAACATACCCACAATATGATGCTGCCACCACCATGCTTCACCGTAGGGATGGTGCCAGGAATCCTCTAGACGTGATGCTTGGCATTCAGGCCAATGAGTTCATTGTTGTTTTCATCAGACCAGAGAATCTTGTTTCTCATGGTCTGAGAGTCCTTTAGGTGCCTTTTGGCAAACTCCAAGTGGGCTGTCATGTGCCTTTTACTGAGGAGTGGCTTCCGTCTGGCCACTCTACCATACAGGCCTGATTGGTGGAGTGCTGCAGAGATGGTTGTCCTTCTGGAAGGTTCTTCCGTCTCCACAGAGGAACTCTGGAAATCTGTCAGTGACAATCGGGTTCTTGGTCACCTCCCTGACCAATTGCCCTTCTCCCCATATTGCTCAGTTTGGCTGGGCGGCCAGCTCTAGGAAGAGTCTTTGTGGTTCCAAACCTCTTCCATTTAAGAATGATGGAGGCCACTGTGTTCTTGGGAACCTTCAATGCTGCAGACATTTTTTGGTACCCTTCCCCAGATCTGTGCCTCGACACAATCCTGTCTCGGAGTTCTGCTGACAATTTCTTTGACCTCATGGCTTGGTTTTTGCTCTGACATGCACTGTCAACTGTGGGACCTTTTATATAGACCGGTGTGTGTGTGTGTGCCTTTCCAAATCATGTCCAATCAATTGAATTTACCACAGGTGGATTCCAATCAACTTGTAGAAGCATCTCAAGGATGATCAAATCGAAACAGGATGCACATGAGCTCAATTTTGAGTCTCATAGCAAAGGGTCTGAAACTTATGTAAATAAGGTATTTCTGTTTTTTATTTTTAAATGTGCAAAAAAATACATTTGCAAAAATTTCTAAACCTATTTTCGCTTTGAGAATGTGTTATTTCATTCATTTTAAAATAAGGCTGTAACGCACTAAAATGTGGAAAAAGTCAAGGGGTCTGAATATTTTCCGAATGCACTGTATCCTGCCCCTTTATATAAAATGTTAGCTTAACAAATCAAGTAGTATCAAATGTTGGTTCTACACAAGCAATTAAAGTTATACACTTGTAGAATTTGAAAAGATATCTAAGTAGCCCAACAGATAGTGGTAGACCTAATCACCGACAATGATGAGACAGCCTGTAGGGAGGAGGTCAGAGACCTGGCATGGGGTGCCAGGACCACAACCTCTCCCTTAATGTGAGCAAGACAATGGAGCTGATCGTGGACTACAGGAAAAGGCGGGCCGAACAGTCCCCCATTAACATCGACGGGGCTGTAGTAGAGTGGGTCGAGAGTTTCAAGTTCCTTGGTGTCCACATCACCAACAAATTATCATGGTCCAAACACACCAAGACAGTCGTGAAGAGGGGACGACAACACCTTTTTCCACCTCAGGAGACTGAATAGATTTGGCATGGGTTCCTCAAAGTTCTACAGCTGCACCATCGAGCGCATCATGACCGGTTGCATCACCGCCTGGTATGGCAACTGCTCGGCATTTGACCGTAAGGCGCTACAAAGGTAGTGCGTATGGCCCAGTAAATCACTGGGGCCAAGCTTCCTGCCATCTAGGACCTATATACTAGCTGGTGTCAGAGGAAGGCCCAAAAAATTTTCAGACTCCAGTCACCCAAGTCATAGACTGTTCTCTCTGCTACCGCACGGCAAGCGGTACCGGAGTGCCAAGTCTAGGACCAAAAGGCTCCTTAACAGCTTCTACCCCCAGGCCATAAGACTGCTGAACAATTAATCAAACTATTGTTTTTACACTACCTACATGTACAAATTACCTTGACTAACCTGTACCCCCAGCACATTGACTCGGAACCGGTACCCCCTGTATATAGCCTCGTTATTGTTATTTTTTTGTGTTAAGATTTGTTTTATTTTTATGTTTTACTTTAGTTTATTTAGTAAATATTTTCTTAACTCTATTTCTTGAATTGCATTGTTGGTTAGGGGCTTGTAAGTAAGCATTTCACGGTAAGACCTGTCATATTTGGTGCATGTGACAAATACAATTTGATTTGATGATATTAAAGTTAAGCTAAAAACAAGACAGCGCTAATTTTCAATGCTGAAAAAAATAGGCTATCCAAAGGTATTATAAAATGATTTCACTTTAGTCGCCCAGGGCAGGGAATAAGTTACCTGTATGGTAAGGCAAAATATAATAATAAATAATACAAGGTTTCAAGGTGCGGTTTATTTAACATTTTAATTCAAATTCGTTGTTAACCAGGGTTTAAACATTATCGGAACTTTCCTAACCCTTTACACTTGCATACGGATTGAAAATAGGGGATTTGGACAATGATAGGTGCCTAAATTGGAATGCAGTGGCTGTACAGTAACATGCTATACATGACGTCAGAGCTCATGGATTTTGTGACAGTCGTTCTGAACTTTTGTTGTCTGAGTGAGAGAAATGCTGTAAATTAAGAGAAGTCAATGTATTTTGAAAGATGAGACATGGCGGAAAATAATAAATACCGGTTTGATGTCATACAAGGAAGCCAAACACTCTTGAGTCCAAATGTGCAGTTCACATTTCCATATCCTAGACTCATGTAATATACAGTGGCAATGTTAATGAACACTGTGTTTGATGTTCACTTACAAGATGACATGGTGTTGTACCCTGGGTTGTCCTGAACAGAATAAGCCTATGTTTTTTTTGTGAAGAAAATGTTTGCGGACCGTGCTTCTGAATGCACTCTTGACTCCATTTTATGCCCACCAAAATTACGATCTGCTTCTCTGAATTGCCTTGTGAAAGCCGAACACTGTATGTTCGTATGTTATAATTTAGCTAGTCATGTTGGCAATAAAACAAGCTTTAATGGACAAGTTTTGGATTGCGTTAACAACAGTAATTTTGTGATGGCGGGGATGCAGGGCTGTGTTCCAAACAAAACAACTACAAGTGTGCTTACTCTTGTTCCTCAAAGGCACAGCTAGGAGAGCTCAAAAGAGCACTTATAGTTGAAGACTTCTTTGATTCAAAGTGCATTGAAATGACTTAGGAACTGTGCACACTTTGGAGAGGTGTGTGGCCACTTGGAGGACACCAGTTAGTCCTCTCATTCAAACCCTTGTAATTATTTTGTCTTATGTTGCACCTACCCCAAATTTGGTGAGAAAATAATTAATTAATAATCATGTTACTGAATGTATCCAGAGTATTTTCAGATTTCGTTATCAACAAATGCGGCAAAAAGTACAGTAAATGTAAAATCAAAAGTGTAATGATTGGATTTAATGTTTGGTCTTGTGTGGCTCAGTTGGTAGAGCATTGCGCTTGCAACACCAGAGCTGTGGGTTCGATTCCCACGAGGGGACCAGTACGAAAAATGTATGCACTCACTACTGTATGTCGCTCTGGATACGAGTGTCTGCTAAATGTAAACATTTATTCAGTCTTGTGTCAGATGAACTGTTGTGTCCTCACCTTTTAGTCTAATAATCTCCAAACCGTTCCCTTTTAATTGCTACAATGGTTATGCATATGCTTTCTAAATTTATTCTCTAAGAAACATTTCAATTTAGCCCTATCCATGTAGGCCTATTCCCACGAGGGTAAAGGGTTAAAATTCCAGAAATCCTTTGTTGGAGGATTCTGGATTTCCTGCTTATTCCCTCCTGATTATATGAATCTTCCAACCAGGTTTTCTAGAAAACCTGCAGATTTTGAGAAAGTTACTGGAATTTAGCAACTCTATTGACAACTAAATCAAATATTAACTCCAAATGGATGTTGAACTGGTCTTTGTCCAGTCTGTCAAAGAGACTAGAGCGCGACACTGAACAGATACTTCACTGAGAACTCACCACAGAATAAATGAAGTATTGTGTTCTCCTGATGATGAGCCATCTACTGATGGTGCAACTGCCTCAATTTGTAAAAGCATTACAAGAAAATGGGCATGCAGAGTCTCCAGTAGACACAACAGTCTTGACTAGTTTGGAGAGGCTGAGAAACAGGGCCAGTTTCATTGCCAAAAGCTGTAAGGAAATAAGAGACAGATATGACCAAAAAGAAGATGGGATGTACTACCTAACCACAGCCAACGGGGTGGTCTACCAGACCTTCTGCGACATGACTACTGCTGGCGGTGGCTGGACACTTGTGGCGAGCGTGCACGAGAACAACATGTATGGGAAGTGCACGGTGGGCGACCGTTGGTCCAGCCAGCAAGGCAGCAACCCCAACTGGCCAGACGGAGACGGAAACTGGGCCAACAGGGTTACTTTTGGAACCGCAGATGGCGCCACGTCAGATGACTTCAAGAATCCTGGGTATTATGACATTGTGGCAGAAGACATGTCGGTTTGGCACGTTCCCAACAACTCCCCTATGGAACACTGGAACGTAGCCGCCATCCTTCGCTACCACACCGAGAGACGCTTCCTCACCATTCATGGGGGAAACCTGCACCAACTCTTTAAGCTCTACCCAGTGAGATATAATGCTGGGGCATGTGGCAACACAGGACCTGCCATTCCAATCGTGTACGACTTTGGGAACATAGAGACCACCAGAAATTTTTACGGACCCCATTCAAGAACCCAGTTTGAGCCTGGCTTCATTACTTTTAGGCCAATAAATAATGAACGTGCAGCCATGGCTATCTGCTCTGGGGTCAAACCAACACCGAACACGCGCTGCGACACTGAACATTACTGTATTGGTGGTGGTGGACACTTCCCTGAGCAGGCCCCTCGTCAGTGTGGCGACTTCCCGAGCTTTGACTGGAATGGCTATGGTACCAACACAGAATGGAGTTCATCAAAGGAGATTACTGAAGCAGCTGTGTTACTTTTCTACCGTTAAAATCCATCCTATTGATTATCAATGCCGTCAGATGGCAAGATGTAAAGATGCATTTTGTTAATACTGTTTGCTTATAATATAATGAACATCACAGAACTATGATTTCCATTTGTTTAATCTATATGTACCGAATACATAATACGTTTATCACATTTCCTTGTTTTAAAATCGAAAGAGATGAGTATTACAATTTTGTGAATATGAATGACTGAAATAAAGACTCATCTAAAGGAAAATTGATAACAGTTGTGGTTTCAATATGCTTTGTCTTGTAGCCATGAAAGACATGCCATAGTTTCTAGTTTTTTAACTTTACTGTGCGTTGTTCAGTGAGCTGCAGTGCGTTGTCAAATCACATGTCTGTTCCCTGTGTAACATCAATATTGCAATAAACTACATAAATGTTTATTTAACCTGCTACAAACAAATACAGGTACTGTACTGTCACATACAGTGCCTTCAGAAAGTATTCACACTACTTGACTTCTTCCACATTTTATTGTGTTACAGCCTGAATTTAAAATGGATAAAATTTAGATTTTTTTTTTGTCACCGGCCTACACACAATACCCCATAATGTCAAAGTGGAATAATGTTTTTCGAAATTGTTACAAATGAATTAAAAATGAAACACTGAAATGTCTTGAGTCAATAAGTATTCAACCCCTTTATGGCAAACCTAAATAAGTTCAGGAGTAAACATTTGCTTAACAAGTCACATAATACGTTGCATGGACTCTGTGCAATAATAGTGTTTAACATGATTTTTGAATGACTACTTCATCTCTGTACCCAACACATACAATTATCTCTAAGGTCCCTCAGTCGAGCAGTGAATTTCAAGCACAGATTCAACCACAAAGACCAGGGAGGTTTTCCAATGCCTCGCAAAGAAGGGCATCTATTGTTAGATGTGTAAAAAAATGTAATTAAAAAATTAAAAAAGCAGACATTGAATATCCCTTTGAGCACGGTGAACTTATTAATGACACTTGATGGTGTATCAATACACCCAGTCACTACAGAGATACAGGCATCCTTCCTAACTCAGTTGCCGGAGAGGAAGGGAACCGTTCGGCGATTTCACCATGAGGCCAATTGTGACGTTAAAACAGGTACAGAGTTTAATGGCTGTGTTAGGAGAAAACTGAGGATGGATCAACAACATTGTAGTTACTCCACAATACAAACCTAAATGACAGAGTGAAAATAAGGAAGATTATGCAAAATAAAAATATTCCAAAACATGCATCCTGTTTGCAACAAGGCACTATACTGATTTGATTTGCTGCAAACAAGCAAATAACTTATTGTGCTGAATACAAAGTTATGTTTGGGGCAAATCCAATACAACACCTTACTGAGTACCATTCTCCAGATGTTCAAGCATAGTGGTGGATGCATCATTTTATGGGTATGCTTGTAATTGTTAAGGACTGGGGAGTTTTTCAGAATAAAAAATAAGAAATGACTGGAGTTAAGCACAAGCAAAACCCTAGAGGAAAACCTGGTTTCAATCTGCTTTACACCAGACACTGGGAGATTATTCACCTTTTCAGCAGGACAATAACCAAAAACACAAGGCCAAATTTACATTGGTGTTGCTTACCAAGAAGACAGTGAATGTTCCTGAGTGGCCGAGTAACAGTTCTGACTTAAATCTACTTGAAAATGTATGGCAAGACCTGAAAATGGTTGTCTAGCAATGATCAACAACCAATTTGACAAAGCCTGAAGAATTTTGAAAATAGTAATTGGCAAATGTTGCACAATCCAGGTGTGGAAAGTTCTTAGAGACTTACCCAGAAAGACTCACAGCTGTAATTGCTGCCAACGGTGCTTCTACAAAGTATTGGGGTATGAAAACGTATGTAAATGAGATCTCTATATTTCATTTTCAATACATTTGCAAACATTTCTAAAAACATGTTTTCACTTTGTCGTTATGGGGTATTGTGGGAAAAAAGTATATTTAATCCATTTTGAATTCAGGCTGTAACACAACAAAATGTGGAATAAGTTAAGCGGTATGAATACATTCTGAAGGCAGTGTAAGGATGGATTTCTCCCTCTCTCTCTCTCTCTGTGGCATGCAAATAATTTATTTTAGTTCTTAATAAAAATTATTTCTTATTTCTCTCTATCTCTCCCTCCCAGTTGTCTACAGCACCAGTGAGATGCTGATGAACATGGGCAACCTCCCCCTGGACTGGTTCTACCCAGCGGTAGCCATCATGACGCTGATGTACATTCTGCGACCCCTCCCTCTCCAACCACCCCACCATGGTGGTGCAGGCAGTCATCTTCATCTTCAAGTCTCTGGGCCTTAAGTGTGTCCAGTTTCTGCCCCAGGTCATGCACACCTTCCTCAATGTCATCCGAGTGTGCCACACCAGCTTCCGAGAGGAAGCTAGCTAAAGCTAACAGAAATGTTAGATATAGCTAACGTATTTCATGATTTTTTTTTTCTTGTTGATTGCCGATTGTGGGAATTATTGTTAATGTATTTTTTGGGGGCTGACATACCGTCACCAGTTTCTTGTGCAATTATATTAAGGAAGTATACTTAAGTTTATGGTTAACTTTGCCATTGTCACGTTTTTAAATGTAGAACCTTTCCACCTCTGTTTGCTGCTTTTTTACAAAGTTGTTTTGCATCAGCCCCTTTTTATTACAACCACACGTTTTCCACTCCATAAATTCACCCTGGATCATGGTGTCAGGGGCGTGAAATCCGGAGGCGAGGTGCCTGTAACTAAAGCATTGACTCTCGACCAGATAGTTTCCCGAACTAAGCCTGACTGGTGAACAATCAACATGTTTTGTTACACCTGTTATTTTCTTCCCTTTCAGTTTCTCTTCCAGCAGATGGGGGTGGTCGTGTGCTTTGTGAAAATATGCATCCACCCCTATATGGATGACTTCACCCTTTCTCTTTTTTCCACTTGTTTAGAAACAGCTGCAAACTCTTAATTTTGTACATTTCTCTTTCGACTTTCCTAATTGGCGTTAATTCATAAGGGGAAATGTCACTTGAGCCTGACTCTTTGGTGGCACGAAGACTGTTTGTCCATGTAGAATGAAAGAGTTGCTCCTTTAAAAGCCGTTTGTTAAGGATAATATTTTTTTAAATATAAAAGTTATATTCAGAAATGAGTATTTGAGTTTTCTAACAGTTTTTAAATTCTACGGTATTGCAATATTTTATTAAACTTCTCCACTCTACAGTGTCATTCCCTCCAATTAATTGAACACTTCAATAGTGGAAGAGAAAGACCTCTATCACACGATGCAGGAAGTCCTAGTCTGAAAGTGACTGTTAAAACCTTTGGCTCTGCTAAAGTGGACAAACTGTCTAGCAGCACATACTCATATAGCAAGGAAAGAAATATCAAATGTCCATTATTCACTGGTATCTCAATAACATTCTTAACCTATGTGTAGGGTGCCGTCTTTCGGATGGGACGTTAAACGGGTGTCCTGACTCTGTGGTCACTAAAGATCCCATGGCACTTATCGTAAGAGTAGGGGTGTTAACTCTGGTGTCCTGGCTAAATTCCCAATTTACATTTACATTTTTTACATTTTAGTCATTTAGCAGACGCTCTTATCCAGAGCGACTTACAGTTAGTGAATACATATTCTATTTTTTATTTTTTCATACTGGTCCCCCGTGGGAATCGAACCCACAACCCTGGCGTTGCAAACGCCATGCTCTACCAACTGAGCTACATCCCTGCCGGCCATTCCCTCCCCTACCCTGGACGACGCTAGGCCAATTGTGCGCCGCCCCATGGGTCTCCCGGTCGCGGCCGGCTGCGACAGAGCCTGGATTCGAACCAGGATCTCTAGTGGCACAGCTAGCACTGTGATGCAGTGCCTTAGACCACTGCGCCACTCAGGAGACAATCTGGCCCTCATACCAGCATGGCCACCTAATCATCCCCAGCGTCCAATTGGCTCTTTCATCCCCCCTCTCCCCTGAATCTATTCCCCAGGTCGTTGCTGTAAATTAGAGTGTGTTCTCAGCCAACCTACCTGGTAAAATAAGGGTAAAATAAAACTGGGCCATTGCACATTTTAGCTGAAGTTAATAAATGGCAAGTAAAACAAAGGGATCTATTCATTGTAGTAACCGTCTACCTCATGCGTCCAGATGATTGGCTGAAATAGCCATTCGGGACTTCAGGAGTTGAAATCACATAATCTGCTGTCGGTATAGCAACCCTAACGTAGGCTAGTTCCAGTCAGACCAGGAAGAGGGGCTTGGAATACTGGCCACTCACAAAATACCTCCACGAGCTTTCACAGCTGAACGCTATTGGCACCAGTGGTGGAAAAAGTACTAAACTGTCATTCTTGAGTAAAAGTAAAGATACCTTAATTGAAAATGACTTAAGTAAAAGTGAAAGTCACCCAGTAAAATACTACTTGAGTAAAAGTGTAAAATTATTTGGTTTTAAATATACTTAAGTATCAAAAGGTAAATAGAATTGGAAAAATGTACAGTGCCTTGCAAAAGTATTCACCCCTCTTGGCGTTTTTCCTATTTTGTTGCATTACAACCTGTAATTTAAATGGATTTTTATTTGGATTTTATGTAATGGACATACACAAAATAGTCCAAATTGATGAAGTGAAATGAAAAAAATAACTTCTTTCAAAAAATTATATAAAATGAATAACAGAAAAGTGGTGCGTGCATATGTATTCACCTCCTTTGCTATGAAGCCCCTAAATAAGATCTGGTGCAACCAATTACCTTCAGAAGTCACATAATTAGTTAAATAAAGTCCACCTGTGTGCAATCTAAGTGTCACATGATCTGTCACATGATCTCAATATATATATACACCTGTTCTGAAAGGCCCCAGAGTCTGCAACACCACTAAGGAAGGGGCACCACCAAGCAAGCGGCACCATGAAGACCAAGGAGCTCTCCAAACAGGACAGGGACAAAGTTGTGGAGAAGTACAGATCAGGGTTGGGTTTTAAAGAAATATCCGAAACTTTGAACATCCCACGGAGCACCATTAAATCCATTATTACAAAATCGAAAGAATATGGCACCACAACAAACCTGCCAAGAGAGAGCCGCCCACCAAAACTCATGGACCAGGCAAGGAGGGCAATAATCAGAGAGGCAACAAAGAGACCAAAGATAACCCTGAAGGAGCTGCAAAGCTCCACAGCGGAGATTGGAGTATCTGTCCATAGGACCACTTTAAGCCGTACACTCCACAGAGCTGGGCTTTATGGAAGAGTGGCTAGAAAAAAGCCATTGCTTAAAGAAAAAAATAATCAAACACATTTGTCGTTCACCAAAATATATGGAAGAAGGATAATGACCCAAAGCATACTGCTAAAGCAATACTCGAGTGGTTTAAGGGGAAACATTTAAATGTCTTGGAATGGCCTAGTCAAAGCCCAGACCTCAATCCAATTCAGAATCTGTGGTATGACTTAAAGATTGCTGTACACCAGCGGAACCCATCCGACTTGAAAGAGCTGGAGCAGTTTTGCCTTGAAGAATGGGCAAAAAATCCCAGTGGCTAGATGTGCCAAGCTTATAGAGACAGACCCCAAGAGACTTGCAGCTGTAATTGCTGCAAAAGGTGGTTATAGTTATGCACTCTCAAATTTTTACAAAAAAAATATTTTTCATCTTCAAAGTGGTAGGCATGTTGTGTAAATGAAATGATACAAACCCCCAAAAATCAATTTTAATTCCAGGTTGTAAGGCAACAAAATAGGAAAAATGCCAAGGGGGGTGAATACTTTCGCAAGCCACTGTACTTAAGTATTCAAAGTAAAAGTAAAAGTATAAACCATTTCAAAATACTTACATTAAGCAAACCAGACGGCACAATATTTACATTTTTTATTGACGGATAGCCAGGGGCACACTGCAACACTGACATAATTTACAAATGAAGCATTCTGAGTCCGCCAGATCAGAGGCAGTAGGCATGACCAGGGATGTTATCTTGATAAGTGTGTGAATTGGACCATTTTCCTGTCAAAATGTAACTAGTACTTTTTGGGTGTCAGGGAAAAGAATGGAGTAAAAAGTACATTATTTTCTTTAGGAATGTAGTAAAGTTGTCATGCGACATGTATGCGGTAGCGAAGTCAAAAGCAGGACACAGAGCGGCTGGCAACGTTATTTACTGAACACAGTAAAATCAACGTACACAAACACAAACCTCCAAAACAGGGAGGAAAGCACAAAGACCCGTTCATACACGAACTGCCAGAATGACAACAAACAATAACACACAAAATACCAAATGAGAGACAGGGGTAAATATAGGGAAATGCAATCAAACATAATGGGGAACAGGTGTAAACAATAAAGACTAAACAAGACAAACACCGAAACATCGATCGGCAGCAGGGGACGACGAACGCCGAAGCCTGCCCGAGCAAGGAGGAGGAGCAGCCTCAGCTGAATCCGTGACAGTACCCCTCCCTTGACGTGCTGCTCCAGCCGTGCGCCGACCCCGGCCTCGGGGACGGCCAGGAGGACGCGGAGCAGGGCGAGTCGGATGACTCCGGTGGAAATCCCTCAACAGGGAGGGATCTAGGATGTCCCTCCTAGGGACCCAGCACCGTTCCTCCAGACTGTACCCCTCCAACTCCACGAGATACTGCAGACCCCCCATCCGACGCCTCGAATCCACGATGGAACGGACTGAGTACGCCGGAGCCCCCTCGATGTCTAGTGGGGGCGGAGGAGCCTCTCGTATCTCATTCTCCTGGAGTGGACCAGCTACCACCGGCCTGAGGAGAGACACATGGAACGAGGGGTTAATGCGGTAATTAATGGGCAGTTGTAACCTATAACATACCTTGTTCAATCTCCTCAGGACTTTAAATGGCCCCACAAACCGCCGACCCAGCTTCCGGCAGGGCAGGTGAAGGGGCAGGTTTCGGGTCGAGAGCCAGACCCGATCTCCCGGTGCATAAACCGGACCCTCACTGCGGTGGCGCCTTTTTGCCGTCTGATAGCCCGCTGCAGATGGACATGCGCAGCATGGCTGATAACCCAACACACACTGAAAAGGCATAAGATTAGTGGAGGAGTGGCGGAGTGAGTTTTGGGCTATCTCTGCCCAGGGGATATACCTGACCACTCCTCCTGGCAATAGGACCTCAGAAACCTACCCACATCCTGGTTTACTCTCTCCACCTGCCCATTACTCTCAGGGTCACAACCCGAGGTAAGGCTAATCGAGACCCCCAAACGTTCCATAAACGCCCTCCAGACTCTAGAGGTGAACTGGGGACCCCGATCAGACACTATATCCTCAGGCACCCCGTAGTGGTGGAAGACGTGAGTAAACAGGGAGTCGGCCGTTTGTAGTGCTGTAGGAAGACCTGGCATAGCAATGAGACGGCAGGCCTTAGAAAACCGATCCACAACGACCAAGATCGTGGTATTCCCCTGGGAGGGGGGAAGGACCGTGACAAAATCCAACGATAGGTGAGACCACGGCCGTTGTGGAACGGGTAGAGGTTGTAACTTCCCTCTGGGCAGGTGTCTAGGCGCCTTATACTGGGCTCACACTGAGCAGGAAGAAACGTAAACCCTCATGTCCCTAGCTAAGGTGGGCCACCAGTACTTCCTGCTAAGGCAGTGCACCGTCCGACCGATACCAGGATGACCAGAGGAGGGTGAAGTGTGAGCACAATATATCAGTTGATCACGGACCTTGAGCGGCACGTACCTCCCGCCCTCTGGACACTCTGGGGGAGTAGGGTCGGCACGTAACGCCCGCTCGATTTCCGCATCGACCTCCCACACCACTGGTGCCACTAGACAAGACTCCGGAAGTAAGGGAGTGGGCTCAATGGACCTCTCCTCTGTCTCATATCGTCAGGACAGGGCGTCTGCCTTAGCGTTCTGTGACCCTGGTATATAAGTGAGCTTAAATACAAACCGGGCAAGAAACATGGCCCACCTAGCCTGACGAGGGTTCAGTCTCCTCGCTGCCCGGATGTACTCCAGGTTACGATGGTCAGTCAGAATGAGAAAAGGGTGTTTAGCCCCCTCAAGCCAATGCCTCCACACCTTCAGGGCTTGAACCACCGCTAGCAGCTCCCTGTCCCCCACGTCATAATTGCGTTCCGCCGGACTGAGCTTCTTAGAATAGAAAGCACAGGGGCGGAGTTTTGGAGGCGTGCACGAGCGCTGAGACAATATAGCACCGATCCCCGCCTCGGATGCATCCACCTCAACTTGGAACGCCAAAGAGGGATCCGGATGTGCCAGCACCGGAACCGAGGTGAACAGGTCCTTCAGATGTCTAAACGCCCTGTCCGCCTCAGCCGACCACTGCAAACACACCGGGCCCCCCTTTAGCAGGGAGGTGATGGGAGCTGCTACCTGTCCAAAGCCCCGGATAAACCTCCGGTAGTAATTGGCAAAACCCCAAAACCGCTGCACCTCCTTCACCGTAGTGGGAGTCTGACCGCGTTTCAGCCGTGCGTAATTGGCAATCTCCATCTCCATCCCTGACGCGGACAACCGCAAAAAAAATAAGACATTTCTCCGCCTTCACATACAGGTCATACTCCAACAGTCTACCCAGCACCTGACGCACCAGGGACACATGCTCGGCTCGTGTAGCGGAGCATATTAGAATGTCATCAATATACACCACTACACCCTGTCCATGCAAGTCCCGGAAAATCTCGTCCACAAATGGAAGACTGAATGAGCATTCAATAAACCATATGGCATGACGAGGTACTCATAGTGACCCGAGGTGGTACTGAATGCTGTCTTCCACTCATCTCCTTCCCTAATGCGCACCAGGTTGTAAGCGCTCCTGAGATCCAATTTTGTGAAGAATCGCGTCCCGTGTAATGACTCCGTCATACTAGCAATCAGAGGGAGAGGATAGCTGTATTTGATTGTAATCTGATTGAGACCACGGTAATCAATACACGGGCGTAACAAAATTATTCTTCACAAAATAGAAACTCGAGGACGCAGGGGAAGTGGACGGCCTTATGTATCCCTGTCTCAGAGATTTGGCGACGTATGTCTCCATAGCTGCCGTCTCTTCCTGAGACAGAGGATACACATGACTACGAGGAAGAGCAGTGCCTACCTGGAGGTCTATCGCACAATCCCCCTGTCGATGAGGTGGTAATTGAGTCGCCTTCGTTTTACAGAAAGCGAGTGCAAAATCGGCATACTCAGGAGGAATATGCATTGTGGGAATTTGGTTCGGACTTTCCACCGTCGTTGCCCCTATGGAAACACCTACACACCGCCCGACACACTGAACAGACCATCCCTTGAGAGCCCTCTGTTGCCACGAAATGCTGGGGTCATGAGATGTTAACCAGGGAAGCCCCAACACCACGGGAAACGCAGGAGAGTCAATCAAATACAACTGTATAATCTCCTCATGGCCCTCCTGCGTCTTCATCTTAAGTGGCGCTGTGACCTCCCTAATCAATCCCGACCCCAAAGGGCGGCTATCTAGGGCATGGATGGGGAAGGGCACATCAACTGGTACAATAGGAATCCCTAACTTATATGTGAACCGGCGATCGATAAAATTCCCAGCTGCGCCTGAATCTACTAGCGCCTTATGCTGGGAGTGAGAAGAAACCTCTGGAAACACAACTTTAATACACATATGTACAACAGAGAGCTCTGGGTGAGTTGGGTGCTTACTCACCTGGAATGACTCATCAGTGCGATGCCTACTGCCTCGATTCCTAGGAGACCCTCCCGCCATAGGGCTCGGCTCGGAAGTGCTGGGGGATAGAATGGACGGCCCCAACTCCGGACGTCCGCGGGTAGCCAACAGGGTATCTAGGCGAATCGACATGTCCACCAGCTGATCGAAACTTAGGTTGGTGTCCCTGCAGGCCAACTCCCGACGAACGTCCTCCCTTAGGCTGCACCTGTAGTGGTCGATGAGGGCCCTCTCATTCCATCCCGCATTGGCAGCCAGAGTCCGGAAGTCCAGTGCGAACTCCTGCGCGCTCCTCTTCCCCTGTCTGAGGTGGAACAGATGCTCACCCGCCGCCTTCCCCTCTGGGGGATGATCGAACACCGCCCTGAAGCGGCGGGTGAACTCCGCATAGTTGGCTGTAGCGGCGTCTATCCCCCCCCCACTCGGCGTTGGCCCACTCCAGTGCCTTGCCGGACAGACAGGAGATGAGGGCGGACATGGTTGCCAGGTAGAGTTCCACTTGGAGCAGGAAACCCTGACACCCGGCCGCGGTGCCATCATAAGCCCTCAGGAGCTAGAGCCGAATCCCACTGGACTCCGGAGGTGAAGCGATGGGTATAGCTGATGGTGGTGGTATCGTTGGAGGAGGTGTGGGCAAACCTCCTCTTTCCCATCGCCTCAAGGTGTTCATCACCCCTTCCATGACGGTGCCAAGATCCTGGATCATGGCCGCTTGTTGGATAACGTGCTCCTCCAGTGATCCCGCTGGTACCGCCGCTCCTGCTGACTCCATGTCGTGGGTGTGTTAGTCAAAAGCAGGACACAGAGCGGCTGGCAACGTTATTTACTGAACACAGTAAAATCAACGTACACAAACACAAACCTCCAAAACAGGGAGGAAAGCACAAAGACCCGTTCATACACGAACTGCCGGAATGACAACAAACAATAACACACAAAATACCAAATGAGAGACAGGGGTAAATATAGGGAAATGCAATCAAACATAATGGGGAACAGGTGTAAACAATAAAGACTAAAAAAGACAAACACAGAAACATCGATCAGCAGCAGCTAGTACTCCGGGGTCGACGAACGCCGAAGCCTGCCCGAGCAGGGAGGAGGAGCAGCCTCGGCTGAATCCGTGACAAAAGTAAAAGTTGGCAAAAATATAACTAGTAAAGTACAGATACCCCAAAAAAACTACTTAAGTAGTACTTTAAAGTATTTTTACTTAAGTACTTTACACCACTGATTGGCACCTCAATGTATTGCGTAACTACTTTCCTTTACACCCCCATAATCTCCCAATCACCAGTCGCTGTGACAGATATTAAGCCCTATGTTTTTCTAAATGGTGGCGGTTGAATTTAATTGAATTGAATTTATTTTGGGTAACAGACATATTCAACAGAATGTACAATGTGGACCCAGAGGATATCACTAAAAATTATTAATTAAAATGTTTGTTTCCAAAGTGGTCCTCGGTGGTAAAAACAATAACACATATAATGATTAAAAGGCAATACAAAATTACAAACAACCATAAATACATTCATTGATATTGACATCCTAATAAGTGGCGCTATTCACTGCACTTTTCCCTAACCTTAACAATCAACCATAATAATTTCACATTAAAACAATCTATTCATTGCACAGCATACCTATCATTCAAATAAATACACCTGACCTGCAGTAGGGGGCACAAGCGGCAGTGGAGTGGTTTCTCTTACTTAGACAACCTTGTCCTAATGAAAACCAAGCTATTTCTACTTTTTCTTTGCTTGATCTCCAAGGGGAGGCTATTCCATAGACAAATGCCTTTATAGAAAAACGTGCTCCTCGCAGTACTGTTTAATCTTGGGATTTTACAAGACATAACACTAGCTCTGGTATTGTAACTGTGTTGGTTATAGACCATATCAGTGTATTATTTTCATATTACCTGGGGCATGATCATTTAAAATGTCAAACATATGATTAAGTTTAAGTTGGTCCACTCTGGACTCCAAAGGCAACAAGCCCTCCCGGATCTCCTGTACCCCTATGTGGGTCCTAGGGGGGACATTCAGCATATACCTGATAACATTATTTTGCATGACCTGCATTCTCTTTTTCAGCTTTCTTGATAGCCCACTATACCAAGCAGAGCAGGCATAATCAAAATGACACTGAATCAAGGTTGAGACAAGCAGTTTTTTACCTTTTGATGTTAAAATATCTAGTGTTACGATATAAAAATTTCAATTTGTTCGCTAATTTAGAAATAATTTTAGCAGCAATCAGGTCTCCAGAAAGTGATTGATCTAGGAACACACTAAGATACGTTACACTTGTTTTAGATTCAATTTCCTTGCCTGCACAGTTTACCTTTATCTTGTCAGCCCTAAGCAATCTACGTTTTGTTCAAAACAAACAAAATCGATTCAGTTTTTCCCAACTGTAGCGACAATTTGTTGTCAGTCAACCAATCTCTAACAAAATGCAATTCCTTACTCAGGGTCTCCTCTATGTAAACGTTATCCTTCCCTGATACCAGTATGGCTGAGTCATCAGCATAAAGCAGGAGTTTGCACTTTAATGTATCTGGCATATCATTAACATATAGAAGAAATAAGAGAGGCCCTAAAATGTATCCCTGCGGTACTCCACAGGATATTTATTTGGCCTCTGACAGAACATAACCAACATTACATACTTGTGTTCTGTTGGTCAGATAAGACCTAAACCAATTCACTGCTACATCATTTAGACTCATGCATTTTAGTTTCATCAGGAATATATCATGGTCCCAGTGTCAAAAGCTTTCTGCAAGTCTAACATGACCATACCTGTATAGTTCCCCTTCTCACTTTCCTGCTTGATGTGGTCAAAAAGGTGGAAAAGGCAAGTATCAGTGGAATGAGCTGTTCTAAAGCCAGATTGGAGTTCATAAAGAAGTTTGTGCTCGAGAAGGTATCCCTCAAGTTTAATTTAAAAACTAATCTCTCAACAACTTTGGATAAGGTGCTGAGGATCGACACAGGCCTGTAGTTTGGTGGAGGAGGAGTCATTTTGAGAAAGGATGTCGAGTTGATTGACAGGAAATTGACGTCCCGCCACTCTGGTATGTGAGGCCATCTTAATCTTCCATCTTCTTCATGGAAACACCATTTGACCGAGTTACCCCAGTCCTAGACCCTCACATCTCACCTAATGTGCATGAGGTAGTGCTTGGTCGCTAGCGCTCTGGCCGTACCTACAGAGGCTCTTAAAAACCTCTGCAAACTGTAAAAAGCCCCAAAACATAATGACCTGGACTTCAGGTCAACTCATTATTCAGGAAAAATGCATTTCTCAATACAGGGGTTATGTCCCTACATGGCTTATGGGTGTTATCCTTCCTTGAGATCCATCTTCAATTGGCATCAATGAAGGATTTACGCAGAAGTGGTGCATGCAGATCTCAAGTCAGAATAATGCCATACATTTTGTACATTTGACCTTTTAGTCTTTTAGCAGACACTCTTATCCAGAGCAAGTTACAATCAGTGCATTTGACTAAGGGAGGTAAAACAACCACATACAGTGCATTCAGAAAGTATTCAGACCCCTTTTTTTCCCACATTTTGTTACGTTACAGCCTTATTTGAAAAATAATAAAATGTTTTTTTTACCCCTCATCAATCTATACATAAAAACAGGTTTTTAGACATTTTTGCAAATGTATTAAAAATTTAAAAACCAGATACCATATTTACATAAGTATTATGGAACATTTCTTAGATATTTTATTTCAGCTCATGAAACATGGCACCAACCCTTTACATGTTGCGTTTACATTTTGTTCAGTATACTCGTATACAGTGCATTCGGACCCTTTGCTATGAGACTCGAAATTGAGCTCAGGTGCGTCCTGTTTCCATTGATCATCCTTGAGATGTTTATACAACTTGATTGGAGTCCACCTGTGGTAAATTAAATTGATTGGACATGATTTGGAAAGGCACACACCTCTCTATATAAGGTCCCACAGTTGACAGTGCATGTCAGAGCAAAAACCAAGACATGAGGTCGAAGGAATTATCTATAGAGCTCTGAGACAGGATTGTGTCGAGGCACAGATCTGGGGAAGGGTACCAAAACATCGCTTCAGCATTGAAGGTCCCCAAGAACACAGTGGCCTCCATCAATCGTAAATGGAAGAAGTTTGGAACCACGAAGACTCATTCTAGAGCTGGCTGCCCGGCCAAACTGAGCAATCGGGGGGAAAAGGGCCTTGGTCTGGGAGGTGACCAAGAACCTGATGGTCACTATGAAAGAGCTCCAGAGTTCCTCTGTGGAGATGGGAGAACCTTCTAGAAGGACAACCATCTCTGCAGCACTCCAACAATCAGGCCTTTATGGTAGAGTGGCCAGACGGAAGCCATTCCTCAGTAAAAGGCACATGACAGCCCGCTTGGAGTTTGCCAAAAGGCACCTAACAGACTCTGACCATGAGATCAAGATTCTCTGGTCTGATGAAAACAAGATTGAACTCTTTGGCCTGAATGCGAAGCGTCACGTTTGGAGAAGACTTGGCACCTTCCCTACGGTGTAGCATGGTGGTGGCAGCATCATGCTGTGGGGATGTTTTTCAGCGGCAAGGACTGGGAGACTAGTCAGGATGGAGGGAAAGATGAACTGAGCAAAGTACAGAGATCCTTGATGAAATCCTGCTCCAGAACCCAAATATCTCTGGAGAGACCTGAAAATAGCTGTGCAGCGACGCTCCCCATCCAACCTGTCAGAGCTTGTGAGGATCTGCAGAGAAGAATGGGAGAAACTCCCCAAATACAGGTGTGCCAAGCTTGTAGCGTCATATCCAAGAAGACTTGAGGCTGTAATCGCTGCCAAAGGCGCTTCAACAAAGTACTGAGTAAAGGGTCTGAATACTTATGTAAATGTAGGATTTCCGTTTTTTTAATGACTAAAATGTAAATGTAATACATTTGCAAACATTTATAAAAACCTGTTTTTGCTTGGTCATTATGGGGTATTGTGTGTAGATTGAAGAGTGGAAAAACAACAACTTTTCATCCATTTTAAAATAAGGCAGTAACGTAACAAAATGTGGAGAAAGTCAAGGGGTCTGGATACTTTCCGAATGCACTATATCTGATTGAGCAGATTGTGGTGGCCCTAGGTGGTGAGTTCAAGCTCTTCCTGCTGCAGCTCATTCCACATTGCTGTATGTCTTCATGCACCACATGAACACAGGCCGCGGTGTCAGGCCGTACATCCACACAGATTTACATCTGGGGGTTTACTTGCCCACCTTTTGATCAGAGTTGGACCTTTTTCCAAGAAAGTGTCAGCGGGCAGAACTGGTTGAAATGACATTTACCTCTGGATGTACTGTATATATCAGTCCAGTTATGTCATTGCCCGCTCATTATTTAATTGCCTTAACAAGTAATGACATAAATGTCTGGTCCGACATTGTCAGAGAGGGCGTAGGTGTGGTGTAGGAATCAGATGCAGGACACAGATGCTAGTCCAAAATTACTTTAGTAAAGTCCACAAAAGAACGGCTACAAACAGAGCCGGAGGCACGAGGAAAATAACGCACACAGCGTATAAATGCAAAACACAGCGAACACGCACAACAAGTGCGGACTCTCTATCCAATACAAAATAGAGCACTAACTGACTGGAAGCACCAGCTGACAAGGAACAACTACACACAACCACAAGACAGAAACAACGAGAACTTAAAGGACACATAATCAAGACAAAATGAGAAACAGGTGTACCAAAACAGACCAAACCAAACAAACACAGAAACAATGAACGGTGGCAGCTAGTACTCCGGAGACGACGACCGCCGAAGCCTGCCCGAACAAGGAGAAGGAGCATCCTCGGCCGAAACCGTGACAGACATACAGAGTTAAATTTGAGTGCGGGAGTCTCTTTGATAATTTTGGACTATGTAGTGTGTTTTATATTCCCAGCACCACGTAAAGGTAATGTGCCGGTGCGTTCGTTAATATTTGTTCTGAAAACTTTTTTCCTGTAACCGTTGATGACTACATCAATACACATTGTAATTGTACAGCGTCAGTCATGGTTAGTGAAATATACAGTATGAGGATTTGAGGAACCATTAGATAAATTAAATTGTTTATCAGTTCTGTAAAAGCATTAATCTACTTCACTACTGCCACAACATGGCTCCTTCAAAGTCTAGTTTACTTCCTATTCTTCCAGTTACCATTTGTTTGTGGTTGCCATCAAAACTCACCCCATGACTCTTTGACTCTAGCCAAAACACCATCACTACAACAACACAGCCAACGAAGCATAGCTGGCACTCTCTCTTATTTCACCTATTAGCTATGACACCGATACAGGTTTTCCTCAAACAGTAAATCTTGCTGGTGAAAATAGATCACAGGGCAACATCGCACTATAACTAACCCACCACAGTTATTCAACCTCTCTCAGTTGTAGCACTTGTCTTGTTTCTCTAAGGCAGCGATGAATATTAGCCAACCAGAAGCATACAGCTAGTTTCAACCCCCTACACTATGTCTGGCTATGGTCTATAGAACCTGAATTCTGGGTTAAGTCCCAAATAGCACCCTATTTCCAATATAGTGCACTACTCTTTCCCAGAGCCAATAGGTTTTTCTTCAATACATTTGCACACAGCTCTTTGATTCACTCCCATGTTACATTTTCTTTCCCATCTCCTCCCAATTGGTCCTATAGAATTTACTGTACTGAAGAAATGGGGCCCAGTTTCCGAGATACAAAGTGCCAGGGTCTTACGTTTTATTTGTCACACTCTGTTCTTTACCTATCTGGGCATCATGGAGGAAATGTGTTCATAAATACTTCGGGCTTAGGGCAGAAAGTGCTTGCCAAGTGCCCCCATTTCGATGTTCCTCTCAGCTCATCCACACTCTCCCAGTGCACTTTGGTAGCTGAGCTGTGTTTGGGGTGTTGTCTATCCCGTGTTTCCCTCACCCCTCAGGGTTTCCTTGGAGACGTTTGACAGGCTGTGTCGCTGGACTTCACAGATTACGCGTCGTGCATCATCACACCATAGTGCGCGCGCTGGACAACACCCCCAAGCTACGCAGCACGGCCATGGATAAGCTGTCCTCGCTTGTCTTCCAGCTGGGTAAGAAGTTACCTCGTTGTTAGTAGTGGAACCGCTAACAGGAGCTGACACACACACCCCAGGACCAGAAGTTCCCCTTCAATTGACTCCTGTGCCATCACACGGTGCCACAGCGGCAGTAGGGAGTGTTACTGTTTAACAGAGTTGATGAGGTCACCCCCCCCCTTAGCCCCACCCAAACCTTAAAAACCCAACCACACCACATGCAGGGAAGTCTGGCCCCGCAGCAGCTTTTGATCAAACCATCAAAAGCATCGGCGGTCTGTCATGTGTGTCTCTTATCTCTCTCTTTCACTACTTCCCTTCTTTAGTACCAGATCTTTAGTATCCAGGCTCTGTCGCAGCCGGCCGCGACCGGGAGACTCATGGGCGGCGCACAATTGGCCCAGCGTCGTCCAGGGTAGGGGAGGGAATGGCCGGCAGGGATGTAGCTCAGTTGATAGAGCATGGCGTTTGCAACGCCAGGGTTGTGGGTTCGTTTCCCACGGGGGGCCAGTATAAAAATATATATATATATATGTATTCACTAACTGTAAGTCGCTCTGGATAAGAGCGTCTGCTAAATGACTAAAATGTAAAATGTAAATGTAAAATCTTCATCCCCATGGTGAACAAAGTGATTTTGAAGCACAGGATCAATCACCAGCGCTAAGACGTGCTCATCTGTCGGATCGTGAAGGTCCGTTTTTTGTCTCACATTGTCAGCACGTCATGAAATGTGTTTAGAATAGGCAGTCTGTGAGAAACGAACAAGGCAAGTTTGAACAATTATAATTCCAAGCAGTGTAATAGAAGAGGATTCATTGAGGCACATTGCTTACAGTGTGTTTCTCTTCAGGAAGGAAATTAATATTGTGGGCACAACACATGTTTAGAAGCCCTGGGCTCATCGTGGTAACCGTGTTTATCTCAGGGGTACACTTTGGCGGACGAGGAAGAGGATCCTCTAATCTTCCAACATCGCCAGCTGTGCAGTAACCAGGGCGACGTCGGTAGTGCCCCAGCAGAGGCGGGGCCAATGAAGAAGCTCCACGTCAGCACCATGGCCCAGTAGAAGGTCAGGAGAAATAACATGTCATTTCACTTCCTTGACTGTGTCTTGTATTATGCTTCCATTTCAACTAATATGTTTTTTTTTTCTCAAACAGGTAGTGCTTTTGGTTTTAGAGACTCATTATCAAATCACTTCATGATCAGAGTTGATAAGTCAATTTTTCAAATAAAGAATAAAATATATATATATTTGACAGTCTGCTCAGTTTTCATTCAAATTTCCCTCTCAATAAGATACCAATGCCCAACGATTTGAAGCGCCTTTGTTTCAGCATGTCTAATAATTTCAAAACATAGTGCGAGACACTGACCTGTCAGATCTGCTGATAGAGATTTCTTCCATCTTCCCTCACCCAACTGATGCCATAGGAAGCGCAATAACATGATTGTATAAAAATAAATTCTGGTGCCGCTTGTGAGGTGTCCAAGGACGATTGGCTGGAGTGGCTGAGGCGCCTGAGTGTGATTCTGCTTAAGGACCTTGAACTCGTGCTGGTCGCTGGCCCAAACCTACATTCCCCTGGCCAGGTATAGCTATCCCTCCCTCCCTACCTCCCTCCCGCCCTCCACCACACTTCAGAGCACCAGGCAGTCGCCCGTTTTCCCACAGAGGTCCTCAGTAAACGACAGAGGTCCTCATAAGTGTAGTTTAGTGCAGAGGTCCTCAGGTTGCAGTTTAATGTGAACCAAAACACCACTCTTTTCCACTCTTAAACCAAATCATATTTTGTTTTGCTGGCATATCTTGAGCACACCTTGGACTGATCTTGAGCACACCTTGGACTGGTGTGGCATCCATAGGCTGTTTTTATTTTCTGAAGCCTAGCCAATATGATATGGCCATTCAGCAGATGCTTTCATTCAAAGAGAATTACAATTCACTGTGACTTACAATTTACTAAAGGTGCATAAACAACAGCATTGCTTGACATTTTAAAAAATTCATAACTATCTAACAAAAATCCACAAGAAAGCATCCAATTAGAAAAAAAAAAAATTCTGTAACAGTGCTTTGAGCCAAAAAAAATGCTTTATGAATGAAACGTATCGTTATTATAATGAAACATTCACCCCCAGAATCCTTTATACTGATTGTGATCTGATCTAATGGATGTTTACTCTCCCTTCCATCGTTAGGGATCTGTTCAACACAGCCTTCCTGTCGTGCTGGTCGGAGCTGAGCGAGGACCAGCAGGACAAGTTGATCCGCAGCATCGAGCTGGCCCTCACCTCCCAGGACATCGTCGAGTTCACCCAGACCCTGCTCAACCTGGCCAAGTTCATGGAGCACAGCGACAAGGTGGGTTCACATTAGGAGCAGGGCCCTACAGAAGGGGTCTTAAGCTCCAGTCCTGGATAGAGCTACTTGGTGTGCAGGCTTTCGTTCTAGCCCTGCAGTAACACACCTAATTAAAATAATAAACTCATCACTATCCTCAGTCTGGGCCCTTATTAGCTGAATCAGGTGTGGTGATGAGCTGGAATAAAGGCCTGCACGCCCCGTAGTTGGAGAACCCTGCTTTAGAGCAATGCCACATCATCCATCGATTCATCAATCCACCCATCTAATGAATGTTCTGTGTTTTTTCAGGGTCCTCTACCTCTGAGAGTGTCACGGATTCTGCCGAGGCTGCCCCTCCTCCTTGCTCGGGCAGGTTTCGTCGTTCGTCGTCACCGGAGTACTAGCTGCTGACGATCTATGTTATATGTTTCTATGTTCTACCTGTTGTGTCAGATTGTTTCACACCTGTTGTCCATCTTGTAATTACTCCGCCCCTATTTAACCCTGTGGCTCCCATTGTGTTCTGTGCGTGTTTATTGTTTGTTCGCTGATGTCGTTGGTGAGCGGGTTTATTCCTCCCTGCGTGGAGGCTTCTTGTTTCTTTACGTATACACGTAAAGAAACAAGAAGCCTCCACGCAGGGAGGAATAAACCCGCTCACCAACGACATCAGCGGATAGAGCTGGCTGCTAAAGTCTTAAACTCCAGCGCAAAATCCTGCGCGCTCCTCATCTCTTGTCATAGGTGGACCAGCCGTTCTCCCACCGCTCTCCCCTCCGGTGGATGATCGAATACCGCCCGGAAGCGGCGGGTGAAATCCTCGTAGCGGACAGTTCTCGAGTCTATATTCCCCCACTCGGCGTTAGCCCACTCAAGCGCCTAGAGAACTCAATGAAAAAACGTATCTTTACTAATACTAGTAAAGATACGTTTTTTCATTGAGTTCTGTGTCCTGCGCCTGACTTCAGTCAACCGCATACACTGACATCATGACAGAAACACGCACCACGATGGAGTCAGCAGGAACAACTGGATCTACGAAGACGATGGAAGAACGAGTCCAACGTCAAGGGACGATGATCCAGAATCTCTGTGCTACGATGGAACGAGTGTTCCAGATGATGGAGCAAATAGAGAGAGGTGGTATCCCTTCACCATGCCCAACCACACCACCACCTGCTACACTGGCTACCACTTCGCCACCTGGGTCCAGGGGAATTCGGCTCTCGCTCCCGAGGGCATATGACGGTACACCTGCCGGGTGCCAGGGATTTCTCCTCCAGGTAGAGCTTTACCTGGCCACCATTCACCCGGCGCCCTCGGGATACGAGAGCGTGTCCGCCCTCATCTCCTGTCTATCAGGGAAGGCGCTTGAGTGGGCTAACGCCGAGTGGGGGAATATAGACTCGAGAACTGTCCGCTACGAGGATTTCACCCGCCGCTTCCGGGCGGTATTCGATCATCCACCGGAGGGGAGAGCGGTGGGAGAACGGCTGGTCCACCTATGACAGGAGATGAGGAGCGCGCAGGATTTTGCGCTGGAGTTTAAGACTTTAGCAGCCAGCGCGGGATGGAATGAGCGGGCCCTTATCGACCACTACCGTTGCAGCTTAAGAGAGGACGTCCGCCGGGAACTTGCCTGCAGGGACACCAATTTCAACCTGGACCAACTGGTGGACATGTCCATCCGGTTGGATAACCTGTTGGCAGCCCGCGGACGTTCTGATGGGGGTCTGTCCATTCCATCCCCCAGCACCTCCGAGCATACCCCCATGGAGCTCGGAGGTGCTGCAGGTAGGGAGACTGGGAGAGAGACTGTCCCCTGCACCAAGTTTGGCCGCAGAGGACACACTGCTGGTCGGTGCAGGGGAGGGTTCTCAGGAGGTCGAGGCAGCAGGCAGAGCACTGGTCGACCGTCTCAGGTGAGTAGGCACCAGACTAACCCAGAGTTCCCTGTTGCTAATATGTGTATCGACATTATGTTTCCAGATTTTTCTCCCCATTCCCAGCATAAGGCGCTAGTAGATTCAGGCGCGGCTGGGAATTTTATTGATCGCCAGTATGCACGTAGCCTAGGGATTCCCACAGTGTCTGTTGATAAACCTTTCCCTGTTCACACATTAGATAGTCGCCCGTTAGGGTCAGGCATAATCAGGGAGGTCACCGCTCCACTGCTAATGACGACGCAGGGGGGTCATGAGGAGAGGATTAGCCTCTATCTGATTGATTCTCCTGCGCATCCTGTGGTGTTGGGACTTCCCTGGTTAGCCATTCATGACCCCACGATTTCATGGCAACAGAGGGCTCTCAAGGGATGGTCCAGTCAGTGTTCAGGGAGGTGTTTAGGAGTTTCCTTGGGGGCAACTTCGGTGGAAAGTCCAAACCAGGTTTCCACCGTGCACATTCCATCTGAGTATGCCGATTTGGCTATCGTCTTCAGTAAAAAGAGGGCGACTAAATTACCACCCCATTGTCCGGGGGATTGTGCGATAAATCTCCAGGTAGGAGCTGCACTTCCCCGGAGTCACGTGTATCCTTTGTCTCAGGAGGAGAAGGCGGCTATGGAGACATATGTCACCGAATCTCTGAGGCAGGGATACATTCGGCCATCCACCTCACCCGTTTCCTCTAGTTTCTTTTTTGTGAAAAAGAAAGATGGTGGGTTACGCCCGTGCATTGATTACCGTGGCCTAAATCAGATTACCATCAAGTACAGCTATCCATTACCTCTGATAGCTAGTATGATGGAATCATTGCACGGGGGCACGCTTTTTCACAAAATTGGATCTTAGGAGCGCGTACAACCTAGTGCGTATCCGTGAGGGAGATGAGTGGAAGACGGCATTTAGTACCACCTCTGGACATTTTGAGTATCTGGTCATGCCATACGGGTTAATGAATGCTCCTTCAGTTTTCCAATCATTTGTGGATGAGATTTTCAGGGACCTGCACGGACAAGGGGTAGTGGTGTATATTGATGACATCCTTATATACTCCGCTACACGGACCGAGCATGTGTCCCTGGTGCGTAAGGTGCTTGGAAGACTGTTGGAGCATGACCTGTATGCTAAGGCAGAGAAATGCCTGTTCTTCCAGGAGTCCATCTCTTTCTTGGGGTACCATATGTCCGCGTCAGGGGTGAGGATGGAGAGTGACCGCATTTCGGCCGTGCGTAATTGGGCGACTCCAACCACGGTAAAGGAGGTGCAGAGATTTTTGGGTTTTGCTAATTACTACCGGAGATTTATCCGGGGCTTTGGTCAGGTAGCAGCTCCCATTACCTCGTTACTGAAGGGGGGGCCGGTGCGTCTGCGGTGGTCAGCGGAGGCGGACAGGGCTTTTAGTCGTCTGAAGGACCTGTTTACCTCGGCTCCAGTGCTGGCTCATCCGGACCCCTCTTTAGCCTTCACGGTTGAGGTGGACGCGTCCGAGGCTGGAATAGGCGCTGTACTGTCTCAGCGCTCGGGTACGCCACCTAAACTCCGCCCCTGTGCCTTCTTTTCGAAGAAGCTCAGCCCGGCGGAGCACAACTATGATGTGGGGGACCAGGAGCTGTTGGCTGTGGTCGAAGCTCTGAAAGCGTGGAGACATTGGCTTGAGGGGGCTAAACACCCTTTTCTCATTTTGACTGACCACCGCAATCTGGAGTACATCCGGGCAGCGAGGAGGTTAAACCCTTGCCAGGCAAGGTGGTCCATGTTTCTCACCCGTTTTTGTTTTCACCCTTTCTTACCGGCCAGGTACCCAGAACGCTAAGGCAGATGCTCTGTCCCGACTGTATGACATGGAGGGGAGTTCCGTGGAGCCCACTCCCATACATCCGGCGTCGTGTCTGGTGGCACCAGTGGTGTGGGAGGTTGACGTGGAGATCGAGCGGGCATTGCGCAACGAACCCACACCTCCTCAGTGTCCAGAGGGTCGTGTGTACGTATCGCTTGATGTTCGCGATCGGTTGATCTATTGGGCTCACACGTCACCCTCCTCTGGTCATCCTGGTATCGGTCGGACAGTGCACTGTCTTAGTGAGAAGTACTGGTGGCCCACCTTAGCTAAGGACGTGAGGGTTTATGTTTCCTCCTGCTCGGTGTGTGCCCAGTGTAAGGCTCCTAGACACCTGCCCAGAGGTAAATTGCAACCTCTACCCGTTCCACAACGACCATGGTCCCACCTATCGGTGGACTTCGTGACGGATCTTCCCCCCTCACAAGGGAACACCACAATCCTGGTCGTTGTGGATCGGTTTTCTAAGTCCCGGTCTTCCTACGGCCCTACAAACAGCTGAGGCCCTATTTACACACGTTTTCCAGCACTACGGGGTGCCTGAGGATATAGTGTCTGATCGGGGTTCCCAGTTCACCTCTAGGGTTTGGAGGGCGTTCATGGAACGTCTGGGAGTCTCGGTCAGTCTGACCTCAGGATTTCACCCCGAGAGTAACAGGCAGGTGGAGAGAGTAAACCAGGAGGTGGGTAGGTTTCTGAGGTCGTATTGCCAGGACCGGCGGGGGGAGTGGTCAGTTTACCTCCCCTGGGCAGAGATAGCCCAGAACTCCATCCGCCACTCCTCTACTAACCTGTCTCCGTTCCAATGTGTATTAGGTTATCAGCCGGTCCTGGCACCTTGGCATCAGAGCCAGATCGAGGCTCCTGCGGTGGACGAGTGGTTTCGGCACTCGCAGGAGACCTGGAACGCTGCACATGTACATCTGCAGCGGGCCATCAGTTGGCAAAAGGCGAGCGCCGACCGCCACCGCAGTGGGGCCCCGGTGTATGCACCGGGGGACCGGGTCTGGCTCTCGACCCGAAACCTGCCCCTTCGCCTGCCCTGCCGGAAACTGGGTCGGCGGTTTGTGGGGCCATTCAAAGTCCTGAGGAGATTGAACGAGGTATGTTATAGGTTACAACTTCCTACTAATTATCGTATTAACCCCTCGTTCCATGTGTCTCTCCTCAGGCCGGTGGTAGCTGGTCCACTCCAGGAGTCGGAGATACGGGAGGTTCCTCCGCCCCCGCTGGACATCGAGGGGGCACCGGCG